ATAATTATCAAGATTGCATATTCTATTATAAACATAATCCCAAACAAATGAAAAAAGAATCAAGCAACATAAAGATTAGTCATATGTTTTGTGGTCATAAAGGTAATATAGTCATTTTTCATCATTCATCATAGTCGGTCAGAAAATAATCAAACAACATAAACTCAGTCAGATGTGGATTCAGTCAGAACTTCTAACTCAGTTAGCTTCTAACCCAGTCAGCTTTAACTCAGTTAGCAACTATTAATCGACACCTTAGTAATTTTCTCTTTTTATTTTTATCTAATTTTACACAGTTAAAAACTAACATCTACTTTGCCAAACAGTTTTGTACAGGTAAAAGATATAACGTCAATCTTCCTCCTACTAGCTATTTTTTTTTCCAAACACGGCCTATGTATAATTGCAAAATCAATGAAAATAAATTTGATAAATGAAAAACTATGTTATAAAAATAATCTTTAATCGAATAAAAATATACTCCTAAGTGAATTACGCATAAACATATTTTATGTGTGAATAAGAATATGTGTATTTTAAATAGTAAAAAAGTATCTATCACTTAAAAGTTTTGTTTACAAAAGTAAAAGCCGAATGCCATTAAATATTAAAATAGAATTATCATAAAGAAAACACTTTTATTAATTTTTGAAAATAATACAAAATTTATTAAAACTTTGATTTTACTGTGATTGCTACATACCAGACGATGCCTATTTCTATGAATGGTTGACACAAAAGAAGTAAAAATGAAAGAAAATAAGAAATTTGTTTTTTCTTTGTTGATAATGTATGACGAGGAATATTTATATCGCATGTTGAGTTTTCCGATTTTAAAAAGAAAAAATAGTTAATTTTTGTTAAACACGTGGATACGAAAACTTTAATTTGGTTCATTCTGTGAATAAAAAAAATGCCCAAGTAAATTATTTTTCATGTAAAAGTTTATAAATTATGCAATTATTTATGGGATGTTTAGTTCGCAAAATGTTTTTATAACGAACGAAATTGACCCAAGGAATTAGAATATGCAAGAATTGGAACATAAATAAATTAAAATTTGATATAAACACAGAAACTTTTAATAGTAGTGCCAAAAAAACAATCCGATCAAATATAAAATAGTAGCGGCATTAATTTTTAAAGACGTTGCACTTAAAAGAAAAACATTTTTTTATATTAACGGACTGAAACAGAATAGTGGTCCGAGACCAAACTTGGTTGACATGAAATGAAATCTATAGTTTGGTTTGCAAATTTGTTAAAGTAATTGAAAAGTAAGTTATATAATATGACAAAAATATAAATTTTTGATTTTTTTGAGTTGTTATTATTCATAAGAGTATTTTTGTCATTTTGTAACCACCTAGACTTGTTTAAAAGGTGATAACTAAAAGCTACATAATCTTTGAAGAAGAGATAAGGAGTGACAATCTATTAAGGTGAGTAAATACAAAGAGAACATGTCCTTCCTACCGAGTACCGACTATTGATAAATGACTTGACTTAACTTTATAGTATAATACTCTTGATTGCTAAATTCGTACTATATGTATGTTGTTGCATCCATGAAACATATCACTTAGAATGGGTTAACTTGAGTGTTCTCGGACCCTTTTGAGATTAACTCCCATTTCGCTTGTGTCACTTTTTTTTTTAATTATTTTTTATAATGTATGACATGTTTACCTGTATGAAAATTAAGATTAAAGATTCATGATGGACTTAGCAAACCTATTCCATGGTTTCATGTGGGATGACCAATGTCAGGCTTATAGTTTGGGCATATAAATGGGTTTTGGGAGTGATTCTACTAACTTTTTTATACAATTATACTATTTTGGCCCGTATTATATTATAAAAGGGTTTGTTTACGGTGTAGAAAACTTAGCATGAAAACTAGAAGCATGTGTATTGTATAATTTGATTTGGTTTTGATTGCAATTATTAATGTATCTTATTCTTATATGCTTATAACTATAAAATGTTTTGAAAACATTTTTAGACTAAAGGGAGTGGGAGGCGCTAAGCCTCGCCACTGCCCTCGCTACTCCATCCCCCTTCGTTATGCTAAATGACTCGCTAAGAAGAACTCGCCAAAGAGCTAGCGAGAGGAGAGAGAGAGAGATAAAGGGGAGAGCTGATTGGGTCTTTCCTTTTTTTTTCACATTTGGTTTGCTTTATTCTTTCTCTTCCTGAGAAACAATTGGGTAAAGACATGACTGAATTGGCATGTTTTCAGCTTTGACAATTTCACAAATAGGTTAGAGAAAGGGGAAGATGAGAAATGCAGCCCATGTATTCGACGAAATGTTGCTGGGAAGGATAAGACACAAAATTCTGAATTTGATAGAATTGGACCTCCGAAAATCTCAGACTTATACATTACACCCTCATCTTAATTCCTCTCACAAACCAAGTTTATGAAATTACCAAAAGGACCCTGTATTTAAATATTATACTTATTTTTATGTAATTGATTTATATTATATTAATTGTTGGTGGTTTAAAAAAATAAAATTTGATTAATATTTGTGTATTAAAATAAAGTAATTTAAATAAATTAGAAAAAAGAAAAAAAATAGAGTGCTAGGAGTGTTACCACTCCCTATCAAATGTTAAGATTAGATGTAAAATGGAAAAAATGATGTGACACTCAAAAAGCTGATGTGGCAAGGTGCTAAGAATGTTATCACTCCCCTTAGCCTTAGGAATCTAACTTTGGATTTAGATTATTGCTATTATCCAATTCCATTCAAAAGTTAACCTTCAGGTTTATTTACTAGGATCCCAAAGCCTAACGTTACTATATTGATATGTAATCTTACTAAAAAGTAGAGCTTGGATAAAAGAGTAGCTTGTATGATCTAAGAAGGCTACATTATATGTATTGTTTGTTCTTTAACTTTTGTCATGATGTAATTATACACCCTTATATTATGAAATATTAAATCTGGGATTGCTAAATTATAACTTTTGGTACCTAAACTCCATAATACCTCTTTTGAATAATTAGACATTTTTAAAAGCTAACACAATTGATTTTAACCCATACGAGGGGTGTTTCAGCATATATATGAATGAACTTTTTATTTTTATTTTCTATGTCCATAACTGAAGTAAGATGAAAATTATTTTTCCTGCCATAGTCAAAGTTATTTTCCCCATCATAGTCTTGTTTAATATATATATATATAATATATATATATAGATATAGATATATATATATATATATATATATATATATATATATATATATATATATATATATATATAGATATATATATACTAGTTTATAACCCGTGGGAACCACGGGTTAAAAAATTAATTAAACTTTCATAATAATTTATAATTACTATTCAATTATTTTAAATAAATCATTTTAAATAAATTATTAATTAAGAGATATATCAAATTTTTAAAGTTATTATAACTTCAAATTTAACATATAATTAGAAAAAGTAAATTTGAATTTTGAAATGAGTTGTCTAATATATCTACATGACACATGACATAATATTAATGAGGAATTGTATTAGAGTGACACTTGACAAAATGAGATTAAAACTATTCATTTATTAGAATAGGGATATATATATATATATATATATATATATATATATATATATATATATGGCTATATATATGGCTAGGTTATAATGTGGATGGACAACTATTGTGCGAACGTGTGAACAACGCTATTCTATGAGAATTACTAAGAGAATAGGTTGTTTGCTAATGTGAATACGTTCAACATTACACAACAATCGTCATTTTCATGCATTCTCACTAATTTTTATTCATTTTTGTTCTCAGACATCGTTTTTTACTCATTTTCATTCTTACAGAATACGACTCAATAAATATTCTGACAACATTCTGACAGAATGAGAATAATAATAAAAAGTCTATAATAACCTTATATACGATTTAATTAGTAAGAATGTGTGATAATGACGATAGTTATGTAAGATTGAACTTATTCACATTACCAAACAACATATTTTCTTTGTCATTCTCACAGAATAGCACTGTCCACACGTCCACACAATAGATGTCTATCCACATTTGAACCTATCTCTTTCTCTTTCTCTCTCTCTCTCTCTCTCTCTAATATATATATATATATATATATATATATATAATATATATATATATATATATATATATATATATATATTTTATACCTTTAATACTTGTATCGGAGATGCTTGGTTTATAAAGGAAAATATTTAAAAGTCCTTAACAATCTTATTGAATGGTGTAAGCATGTGCAACTCGAAGAAAAAGGTCGAAAAATAGAAGTAAAATCTCACTTGTAATTCTCAGATTTTCTTTGTTTACTCTCTAAAGAAATATATCAATATAGTTATTTGGGTTAATACCTTAAGGTATTAACCCAAATAACTATATTGATATATTTCTTTAGAGAGTAAACAAAGAAAATCTGAGAATTACAAGTGAGATTTTACTTCTATTTTTCGACCTTTTTCTTCGAGTTGCACATGCTTACACCATTATTTGTACATATCCGTTTTGATTTAACCCCAATATTTTTTTTGTTACTTATTTGCCACCGTTAATGAGATGACGTTCCATTTATTAAACCTTACCCGGTTAACAACCGGTAATCAAGTCCTTGCCGGTTGCCTCTTTTCACTCGAGTACTAATTCTTGGGAACATAGTAGTCACCACCTTTTCCCTCGACTGACTAACAAAGGGGTTATCAGATACGATCATCGTCAAAAGAGGGTTTTGGAAGAGGGTTTTCGAAGGTTTTCAAGGGTTTGATGGCAGAATCATCAATGGCAGAATCATCACGGAGAAGGAAAAGTAAAGAATCAAAACGACAAAGAAGACAAAGTTGAGATACGTACGTGATGAAGAGTCCGATGATGATCTTCTTGAGTTAGGATTGTTGGATGTTGAACCAGATAACTTCAATCCTACATCTAACTTGTGTGACGACCCTTTTCTTAACATTTTATGTGATGATAAAATGTTAAAAAATAATCAATTTGAAGGAGATGATAAAGCTGATGTTGAAGATATTCACCAGGAAGAGCATGAGCATGAACACCTTGAAGATGAAAATGATCTGGAAGTGGGTGTCGAGTTCAGGGTGCACGATCCTACCGTCAAGTGGAACCAAATGAAGCCTACAGTTGGTGAGTTATACGAGTCCCCTGCTCAGTTAAGGTTTGCACTCACTAACTACGCTGTAGCTAATGGATACCAACTTTGGTTCATGAAAAGTGATAAAAGCAGGGTAATTGTTAGGTGTGGGAAAAAAATGCAAAAAAAAACCATGTCCTTTTAGGATCCATGCTTCATGGAAGTATAATGAACATACTTTTCAGATAAAATCTATGGTTGAAACACATCTTTGTGCAAGGAATTATAATTTTGAACATTTGGTTAGTTGTAATTGGTTAGCAAAACACTATATTAAGGACACAATTAGGAAGCCCAAAATGACATTGCCTGAGATGATGGAGGATGTCCTTACAAAATTCTCAGTGAAAGTGTCAAAGGGGCAATGTCATAGAGCAAGGGTAAGGGCAAGGGAAATGATAGAAGGTAAACTAGAGGAACACTATGCTAAGGTATGGGATTATGCCAATGAAATCCTTAGATCTAACCCTTGAAGATAACTTGCTTGAAGCTAACTTGGAAATGGTATGCCAACCTTTACTTTAAATTTCTTATAATTAATATGTGATTTACATAGGGTAATTAACTGGATCATGTCTTACAGGGTGTAGATGCTAATGAGATTGTGCCACCAGTGCAGGGGGAAGTTGCTATACAAGGTTTAAATGTTAATGCTTGGGTTGGTGAAGATGATGAGGAAATTGATGGGGAGATTGACTTCATTGAAGATACACAAGTTGTTGGGAGGCCTAGGAAAAGGAAGATTTCTGAGAGAATTGTGAAGATTAAGCTGAAGAAAGCAGTTTATGATAAGGATGGAAGGGGTTCTAGTATTAAGAAACCAGTTAATTTGGAGTAGGACTATTTAGGAGGGGGTATCATGGGCACTATGTATTTTGCTTGCCCTTTTTGTTAACATTTCATCAGCTTTTGGTAACAACCATCCAATTGTATATCAGCATCTAGTAGTATTCAATTAGGCCTTTTTGAACATTGGTAGTTAATGGCCATTAGAAAGATTGTTGGGCAATTGGATGTTTGGTTCTGATTGTAATACCCCCTTTTATGTTATTAAGAATGCAAGTATTTAAAGTTAATATCATTTCACTTTGCTTGTCATTTCACTTGCTTACAATCATATGTTATTTTGCTTACACAAGTTTTAGTACATTCCAGTTAATACCAAGTTTTACCAAGTTTTAGTACATTACACTTGCTTACACAAGTTTTAGTAATACCCATTTGCTTACACAAGTTTTAGTATATTACTATAAGTCCATAACTACATTGTAATGAATCACTATAATGCAAATACCAAATCACATGGACATAAATAGCATTGGATTACCATCAATACACTTCTCCATCAAACATTACCATAACTACATTGATCACCTGCCCTAACCAAAATAATAAACCTACAACAACCTTAACCATACCAAAATATAAAAAAATTACAACTGCCCTAACCAACTGGTTCTTAAAATACAATGCCAATTATAAGAATTATTCCAATAATCACCAACATCACCAAAACAAACTTTAGCAACCTGATCACCTGCAGAACACCATTGGCAACAATTTCGTTATAGGGCTCCCTGTCATTAGCATAAAACTCCAACTCGTCTGTGTCAAGCCACTTGAAATATTTACACCCTTTTTTGGTACTCTGCCAACAAAATCTTCATTTAATAACTTTTGAAAGATAACAAAATGGGAAAACAAAATCCCTTAATTTTACCTTATAGTTAGGGCATGCCTTGAACTTTCTTCCTGGGTTTTTATCAGTTCTTGAAACTAAGTATTGCAGTTGATCACCACAATCACACTTGGTGCGATAAATCGGTTAGATGATAGAAGATGTTGAAGACGAAGCCATGGAGAAGAAGACGTGATGTATGAGGAAGAACACCTAACCAAGAGTGAATGAGAGGTTTTGGGGCAAATAACGATTTTGGGTATGTTTTTAAATAACGATTTTGGGTATGTAAAGAGTTAGGGTTACCTGCTAAACCGACGATACCGGCTAACATTGACTTTTAATAACCAGTCAACATAATTAATGGAAATTAAGTAACAAAAAAAATATTGGGGTTAAATCAAAACGGATATGTATAAATAATGATTTTTAAGGTATTAACCCTAGTTATTTTCCTTGTGGTCACGTTGTTGCATCACCATCTAAATCTCCATATAATGAAAACATCCATTTGGTATATCACACACAATTCTCTTAAAAGAAATTTAATCAACAATGGCTTTGATGTACCTGCAAAATAATCCAAGAAAAACTATTGATTAGAGAGAGAATCGATATGGGTTTGATTAAATCAAAGATTTTAGCCATGGCTTTGTTGGAATCAATCCTCATTTCACCTTAGAAAATTTCTTTTTCAATCAACCGATTCTGATTTTTTAAAACTCATACAATAAATCACAACTTAAATAAGGATTGAAAGAGCAATTAATGAAATGGGATGCTAAATCAATTGGTAATTGGGTATCAGGTGGTGTCTTCCCTTTTTGAGGTCGAGGGTTCAAGTCCCGTCGTGGACATAGGTGAAATTAGGTGTTAGTTTAGGAGTAGATTATATATTTGTATTTTCCGGTTTTAAAAAAAAAAAATTGGTAATATTGTAATGTAATGTAATAAGGGACTAAAGTGAAATGAAAGTTCTTAGAAAAGGGAAAAATGTAATTTTGTTTTCTAAAAGGGACAAACCTGCAAATGATAATAACGATGGCCGATGTGTGTAGATCGCTCCAGATTTCAAAGATTCCAAGTAACATAAACAAAAAGGATCACTCCACAGCCAAGCAACACAAACGCTTCTGGATTTCCGATACTCTTTCTCCACACGATAATCAAAATAACGCCCAACGCCGGCAAGATTCCGGCGGCTCAGATGACCCAAACAGGTCCCCCGGAGAATCCAGAACTCCGGCCTGGAGGAAGAATCCCGGGAACAATCCCAATCTTCTTCAACAGGTATGCGACTCATTGTTCCCTTGCAAGGAATAGTTCAAGGTCGAGGTGGCTTAATTTTAGGTTCAGTAATTCCTTGTGCTATGTTCTACTTCCTCCAATTCTACCTCAAACGACGCCGTTCACCGCCGAACCCGCCGCAAGAGCAGACCTCGAACCCTCCGTCGCCGACTCCTTCGTCGTCTAATCTACCGGAGCTGTCTAGGTCAGCTTCCCGCTCTAATCTGTTGTCTCGTGGCTCAATTGTTAGGCCTCATGTGTCAGCGAGGGTTCATTCTATCGCGAAATCGAACACTTCTCCTTATTACATTGGGTTGGATAGAGCTTCTGAAGATCCTTACGACAGAGTGAATAATCCCAACGGTGTTATTCAGCTCGGATTGGCAGAAAACCGGGTATAATTTAATAATTTATGCATCTGACTGTGTTTCAATCATATCTGCTAATCCTGCTACGATCATTTATCTTTTTAGCTTTTGAATCATAATTGATTGTACGTTTTCCGATTGCAGCTGACACTTGATTTGATTGAAAATTGGATTACTGAGAAATTGAACGATTCTATACTTGGAGCAGAAGGTTTGAGTGTTAGTGGCATTGCTACCTACCAACCATTTGATGGAATAATGGAGTTAAAAGTGGTAAACTATCTCTACTTCTTATGGATTCTATCATTTCCAAATTCGAGAGAATCTCAATCTTCCTTCTCACATGCCCACCATTTTCTTCCCTCTTTAAGGCCATGGCTGGATTCATGTCACAAGTTGTGGGAAAAACAGTGTCATTTGATCCATCACAAATAGTGTTAACTTCTGGTGCAACTGCTGCTATTGAGATACTTTGCTTTGCTTTAGCTGATCAAGGAAATGCATTTCTTATACCTGCACCATACTACCCCGGGTAAGTTTCATTCATTTCATTACACAATTTCAAGTTCTATATCTTATAACTCAAAATCAAAACCTCAGATTTGATAGGGACATGAAATGGAGAACAGGAGTAGACCTAATACCTGTCCATTGTAGAAGCTCAGATAACTTCACTTTAACCATTCCTGCACTCGATCAAGCTTTCAATCAAGCAAGAAAACGAGGTCAAAAGGTCAGAGGAATCCTTTTATCAAACCCATCAAACCCAATTGGAACCCTAATGACCCGTGAAACCCTTTTCAATCTTCTCGATTTTGCCCGTGAAAAGAACATCCATATCATATCAGACGAATTATTTGCAGCCTCAACTTTTGGAGAAGATGAATTCATAAGCATGGCAGAAGTTCTAGACTCACAAGAAGATCCTGACAAAGATCGGGTCCATATTGTATACGGATTATCCAAAGATTTAGCCCTACCTGGGTTTCGGGTCGGGGTTATATATTCATATAATGAAAGCGTATTGTCTGTTTCCAAAAAGATGACAAGATTCTCTCCAATTTCAGCTCCTACACAACGGTTAGTAACTTCTATGCTTTGTGATTCAAATTTTATAAAAGAATATATAGAAAAGAATCTAGAAAGGTTAAGGGGTATGTATGAGTTGTTTGTTGGAGGTTTGAAGGAATTAGGGATTGATTGTGTGAAGAGTAGTGGGGGGTTGTATTGTTGGGTTGATATGAGTGGACTAATTCGCCCTTATAATGAGAAAGGAGAATTGGATTTATGGGAGAAGATGTTGAATTTAGGTAAGATTAACCCTACCCCTGGTTCTTGTTGCCATTGTATTGAACCAGGGTGGTTTAGGTTTTGTTTTACTACTTTAGAGAAAGAAGATGTTAGTGTAGTTATGGAAAGGATTCGTGGAGTTGTTGAAACTTGTAAATAGTTATGAATATTTGATTGAATGGATTTGTGATGTTAGTGTTTAAAGGTTATAGATTTGTTGGAAAGATTGTTAGGTTTTTTTGTTTTTGTGTAATGTTAGTTGATTTGAGTAGAAAGATAGTGATTTTTAAATGTAGGGAATAAATAGTAGCAAAAGATTAATATTGATTTTGTCTATATGGTTTCATTTTGTAATGCTTTTTGTCACTTTGAATGATTCTTTATAAAGGGATATAAAGGGATCGATTTGCACTAAAAAAAGCAGATCAATAAAAAAATAAATGTTTCTTAATTTTAATTGCTATAATAAGAAAATTAATAAAATTTGTGCCATAACAAACTCAAGTTCACTCCTTAGATTCATAAATTTTAGTTGGGCTTGAAATTATACATGATTCATCACTCTCTGTGATCAAACATTCTGCAACATAGGTCCACATGTTTATTTAACTCATTGACATCTTTCATTTCAAGACAACTTATTTCACCCTCTATTTTCTAATATTATGTTGGAAGTCAATAAACATATAATTCTATTACATGTGTTATTTGTAGTTAAACATGTTATTTATTTTATTTCGAAATTTAAAAATAAGTTGATTTATATTGTGATATATTGAAATACATATTACTTAACAAATTGATTATGTAAATGACGAATTCATAATGGGCGGAGAAGATGAAAGTGAATAAATAAGTATGTTTATAAAAGTTAGTTTAGAGTAGTAAATTGTATACAAAAATATGAAGTTAGTGGTGGTTTATTGTACAATAAATGTGAGCCTAAATCTTGTTAAAGTGGTACTATTTACTAAACAGGAAATATGAGTTTATTGGAAAATCGTATAAAAAAATAAAAAATGTAACTAAGATACAAAAATGATACCTAATGGTAATGTTTTGGACGCAATTATCCTTTAGTTGCAACACCCAGATCAATGTGTACAACTTCCAGTACTTCACAATCAACTTGAGACGTGATCAAACCAAAACAAAAAGTAAAACTTGATTTCAAAATCAATCCTGATATCCCAAAGTCGAACCTCAAATAATGGTGCAACGGTGGTGACCTGGTGCGGTGCTTCGGTGGTGGTGATGAGCGGCCTGACGGTAATGCATGGTTTTGAAATAGGGTAGTTAATACGCTAAACCCAATCACCGGAATTGCAGAAACCGATGAATTGCAGAAGGTTTGGGAGAGGAATGATCATAATGAATCGACGACGACTTACCCACCTGGACTTTCTAGGGTTCCGAAGTGAAGAATGGTTTGATCCGATGGAACTTCAATCGTCGTCGGTGACGGAAGCTTCAATCGAATTGGTAGAGGTTGAGGCAGATGATGTGTCTGGTGGTTGTCAAGGCAAACAAAATAAATAACCCTAAATCTATTACACTAAAATAGTGTATAGTGGTAAATGGGTCGAATCCGCGGAGACTGGTTCAATTTTATAACTCTATGAAAATCTCTTTGTAAAAATGCTTGTAAAATGACAATAAAAGTAAAAATGGGAGGTTTTGGTCTTTTGAAATATTTAAAATAAAACTAAAGTTAAACTAAGATTTAATTGGACAATTCAACAAAAATACAAGTTTGATGTAAAACCAATAAGAGAAAGATGGTTGACTTAAAGTTTCCTCACTTGAACAATTGATAAATATATCATTAGAATCCAATGATGCAATGCTTGTTGTAAATCTTTAATTTCGCTATAGTAATCCAAGAAGCTTGAGATTACCTACACTTTTCTTAGTTGTTAAAATAGTTAGAGAAGCTCATAACAATTTCCTTAATTAAAGTCACAATTTCCATTAAACATGTAATTAGTGAAAGTCAACTAGCATTAAGAACCAAAAAGTCACCAAATCCAAGAGGGGTCAAATGCTTTCACTTCCATGTTGGAGAAAATGTTTTTGTAATTGTGTGAAGTGAAAACTAACACAATAATCACTTGTTGCTTGCTAATTTGAGGATCAATTACTTAATCAAGAAAATTAGCCAACTAATCACTACAAATACATTTAAACTCACGAATAAAAACATACAAGTAGCAAGAAGATGTTAAAACATAAAACATTCTCATAAAGATTCAAGAACAAGTTCATGGAGTTCTTCAACATTAAAGTAATTTCACCAAAGTCAACCAAGATTAGTTTAACCTAATATGGCTAAACTCAAGAAAACAAAGTAAGGATAGATTGTACCAAACATTTAACAAGAATCAAGAGCTAAAACATGATGTTCTTGGTCTTCAAAATGCTCCCAAAACTCTAGGGAAGTGATGAATTTTCGGATGTGCAAAACTCTCAAAAGAATCCCACCAAACTTCCTCAAATAGAAGCCAAAAGTAAAATCACGAAATTACCCCTGTAGAAACTCACGTGGGCCACATAGTATTCTTGCACGAGCCGCGTGAACTGACACAGAATGGGCCATTTCCATTTGTTAGGCCTGCACTGCTTTAGCCCACTGATCCAATTCTTCTTCATTAGATTGTAGCCTACAAATCTTCAAGTTTTCTTCAATTTGAGCCCAATTTGTCTTTTCCAAATCCTCCAAAGCCCGAATACTCGATCGAACAATCAATTATGCAATTGTAAATGTTGTTTTCCATCTTTTTTTAAGATCAAACTCAAATTGATTGCCAATAAAATGCCGCCAAACTAGCCCATATCTTCTTTTGATCTTCTCAAGCCCATGTTTCTTCACTGTCGTCAACGCTCATTCGAATCTTGCAATCCTGAACATCTCCGCTCCATGTTAGTCTTTTAAAAATCTGCAATCATACTCAAAGACTAGAAAGAACCCGAGTAAAGATAAAATAAAAATAAAAAGAGGAAAGATGCATAAAGACTAACTAAAATGAGATGATTTATGCTAAAACAAACTAGGAAAAGAAATAAATAAAATGAAACTATCAGTGTCATCGACTCCTGGATCCTGATTTGTTCGAGGTAGTGAGGCGGTGGATTTAGGTACTGTAGCTAACTCCACCCATTATATATATATATATATATATATATATATATATATATTAAAAATAAAAAATATAAATAAATAAATAAATAATTGTTATTTATTTTTTTGGAACAATCATTTTTATCTTATACACCATAACAAATTCGGAATTTTAAGCAATACCAATCCCAAAAATCTGAATACTAAGATGTAGAGTTTGACAATTTAGTTTTATCCAAATAATAAAGATTCCTAGTTGTGATGTAATGTGAGAGCGACATCATGAATTGCATTGTCTCTTTCTCTAATGCAACTATTGTGTATTGTGTCAATGTTAATGCATTTTATCTTCAATATCAGCTACAAAACACATTAAGATTGATATTCAGATTGTTTGAAAGAGGGATAATGTCAAAAAAGCCCATAAATTTTTCAAAAATATTCGGTTTTACCTTTGGTGAACATTTGTATCTACTAATAGGTAACCACTCACCTCTTAACCGGTTAGTCTTCATCAAGCTTCTACCTATCAGGTAAAAACATGGCTTCAACACCTTACCATCATCATCGATACTCACATCCCACCATCATCTTCATCAGGTTTCATCAGAAAAAATAAAGGAAAGAAAAAGCATAATCGCAAAGCCTAAACCCCTTCTACTATTTATCATCTTCTCCAACTGTTGCTAATCGATTCATCATACATGCCTAAAATCATGTTCCTTTTTGAAGAACATTCATGATCGATTAAACAATAATGGGTGGGGCTTGGTGCTCGATTGAAGAAGGTTTAGTACGTCTCTGAATCTTAGCCCATCAGTCAACGAGAAAAACACACACTATGTGATCAATCTGTAATAATCAAACAAACCCATATCTATGTTCATCTTAAAAAAAACCCATATTTGTGTTCATCTTCCAACTAGGCATGGTAACCCATATTTGTGTTTTAATGGTTGTTTGTGTTCATGTTGCTTTAAACCCAGATTTCAAAATCCAAATCTTCAAGAACATTGGTGGTATAAATTGATGTGGAGAAGACGAGATCTGAAATGTTGTTTCTAAAAATCTTGTTTGAGTTATGTGTTCTTTTAATGTGTGTGTATGTGTTTATCAAGAACAAACCTAAATTTGATTTGAATTCTTCTTGTTTGAGTTCTGAATTTTGTTTCCAAAATCTCATTTTTCAATCTGATAATCAATGCACACCAGATTCTTTAGTTCTGAATCTGAAATCCTTTCCTTGTTTGAGTTTGTTCTAAAATCTTATTTGAGTTCTGAATTATTGCTTGAATGTGTGTGAGTTTTGAAATCTTGAGTTTTTTCTGAAATCCTCACAATTGTTTGAATCCTAAAACCCTTGACAAAATTTAGATAAACCTACTTAAAACTCTTGATGAAATTCGTGGGTTTTGGTTTAAAACGTAATGGGTCGGTGTTGGATGTGCTCAAATTGTTTTTATTCAGTCTGTGGGGGGAAGAAAAAGAAAGTTTGGAGAGATTTTTGTGGGTTTGCATAACGTCGAGGAAAGACGAAGAGGTAACCGTCTAAGGGTTGGAAACCTGATAAAATGGCTTAAACACAAAACTTTCAACAAATATCCGGTATTAGTAGACACAAATGTTCATCAAGAGTAATACCGGATATTTTTGGAAAATTTAAGCGTTTTTATAACATTAACCATTTGAAAGAAGGTACCTGGAATGTTACCCAAGCCATATACTTACGTTTTGCCAAAGGTCCACACCAGAAGTACTTTTTGAAGACTTTCACTTTGTATCAACATTCCCTCTTTGACTACAATAGAGTACTAGATAATGACTAAGGTTATGTTTGACGTACTAGCTGAAAAGCTAGCTGTTAAATAAAAAGCTAGCTGATAAAAAATAACGTTTGGTAAAACTAGCTGAAATATATAAAATTACATAAAATGACATGTAAGAATGTGTTTCTATAATTAATTAAGGGGTGTATTTGGAAAATTTTAAAAAAACTCCTAAAAAGCTAGTCTAAGTAGCTTTTCAAAAAGCTAGCTTAGAAGCTACTTTTTGGCTTACCAAACACGACAACATAAAAAAGCTCGAAAAATAAGCTAACTTATCAGCTAGCTGTGGCGCGCCAAACATAGCCTAAATTTTATAACTCCTAAGATAACTATATTTGTTGCGATATTTAGCCAAACAATCCTGTTTAAAAAAAATCTCTACAAAAATCCTCTAACTTACAAAATGGTCCACGTTTTAACAAAAAATTATAGAAATTGTCCTTACATTGAAAACAAATAATAAAAACAGTCCCTATAGTTTACATAATAGGTCCCGTGCATAATTATTTTTATTGGAATATTCTCTATATTTCAAAAAATTACATAAATGGTTTGTTCCTAATAACAAGTTTACAAAAATGGTTCTTATGTTTCATAAAATTATAGATATAGTCCCTGCTTTCATAAAAAATAGAAATAATTCCTGAAAAACAAAATTATAGAAGTTGTCACTACGTTTCACAAAAGTAAAGAAATGATCAATGTCTAATAACAAATTTACATTAACGCTTCTATGTAAAAAAACATTAGAAAAAATACATGGAAAATATGAGATTAATAAACTCAACGCTAGTTAGATACAAAAGTTGACTTCATTTATCTCTTCTTGTTGGATGTACTTATTTCTTTGTAAATATCCAATGTATTCCTATAAATATTTGACGGAATACAAAGAGTAAATCAAGGGATTTTTTTAAACGGCTGAGTATATAAAAAGAAAACGCTACAAAAAGCTAGCAAACCAATAAAACAACTAGTTCATGAGGGGATTAAGCATCCACTCATTCTAATTTCTCCTTACCTATACGATTACAAAACCAATTATAAGAATAACTGAATCAAATAAAAACTCTTTCTTGTAATTCAAGTTTCTGAATAGAAGCGCATTACTGTAAGTCCACATCACCCAAATAAGAGAAACACGTACCGTTTCCAAGATAAGTTTATGAAAAGGAGCATTCGGAAGACCATCAATCTATTGCATCAAATCGGAAATAGAGGGGAAAATAGGAATCGGTTTATCCACCCACGACGCCAATTTTAACTATAGTTGAAGGGCTAAATTACAATTGAGAAAGATATGATTCACATTCTCTTGAACCTCTAAAAAACAAGGGCACAAAAGGGAATCAATCTCCACCCCTCCCCTAATCAAATTCGTTCTAGTATGGACTCTATATGGTGGTATTTTTTTTAATGGCCAAACTAAAAAAGGCAGACACTTTGCAATGGTTGTTATGAAAATTTGCCTTCATTTTATTAAATCAAAATTGTGTATCTTGTTAATTTTATTAATAAAAATAAACTTATCTTAAACATATAATAAAATAAGTTACTCATAAAAAATGATTTTAAACAAATATGAAAAATATTGCATAGAACCAACCTTTTTATTTCTGATTACTGAGTTTATGAAAGGTTTAGAATGTTTATTTATGTAATAATATTTTATATATTTTTTCTAATTTATTCAAGCATAAATTATACAGTCACGTTTCAATCTAGAATCAAAATATATATTTTACTAAATGGATTAATGAAAGATATTGGACAATTGGCCTTTGAAAGTATAGAGTTTATCACTATTCACTATTTAGTTAAAACCGTGTTAAACTGGAACACAAACTTTTACTATATTGTATGGAATTGTATCCGGTTATCACTTTATACCATTCGTCCATCGTGCACATGCCAGAAAGCGTGTTTAGTCTCTATTTTCAAAAATTAACTCGGACCGTCCCTCGTTCGTTTAAAACTTGCACGTTTCGTCCCTCTGGACATAAAAAGACCATTTTGCCCTTATTTATTTCTTTTTTAATTTTCTTCTTATTTGTTTATTATTTTTAGATTAAAAAAAAAGAAAAAAACAATAAATAAACATACATGAACCCACCCCTCCCCGCTTCCCCCTCCTACGTATTCCTCTACCTTTGTCCCCCATTCTCGGTCACTCCCAACGCCGACGAAGCCCCATCAGCCCCACCTTCACCTTCACCCAAATGCGATAAACCAAAATCGGACCAGTCGATCTTCATCCTCCTCCAATCGCCTCTATCAAACCCTAGAACTCAAGAAGGAACTGTACATGGAATCATCAACAACACCACCATCGTCGGTGGAATCATCAACAACACCACAATCACCACCACCATCTCATATCTCCACTTAACCCTAAGTCGCCTCTCGTTTAAATTGTTCTCAATTTGCAGCAAATTAGAAGATCGAAAAGAGAGAAGTAAGTTGCGATTGATCCTTTCCCCAATTTCCTTTCTACTTCTCTGAATTTAATCGGTCATCTCTCTCACTCTGTCTCATAGACTGCCAGCACCTCCTGCAATCACCACCGGTCATTACTCAAACCTCAAAAAATGAAACCTGAACCTGCAAATGAAACCAAACTAAACCCTAAACTTATAAATCGAAGATGATGGAGATTCAGATCGGAGAAGCGGGTTCTGATCGAACCAAAAAAATCTAAACACAATTGGTGCAAATCAGAATTTTCATTCTTATCATACCTTGTTCGAATGGTGCAGGTTGTACGAAGGTGGTTCCGACTGTGGTGGGTTTTCCAATTTTGAAGGTATGGTTTAAATTGGGTGTTGGTTGCGGTTTGTGATGATGAACATGGGTGTAACAAGGGTGTCCGATGGTGATGTAACCCGAAAAAGGAGGAGGTAGGAAGCTGGTGGTGGGTTTTAAGGTGTTATAAGGTATATGTTTGACGAAGAAGGGTTGAATTGGGAAGTTGGCGATGGATGTACGGTGTTTGAGAGATACAGGTGGTGTTCATCCGATGATTTGTTGGGGTGGGGGCATGAAATGGGGCCATATTGTTTTTTCTTTTATTTTTAAATTAAAAAAAAATAATTATAACATTAAATAAAATGGAAAAGAAATATAAAATGGCATAATAGTCATTTTAGGTCTCGCAAGGGATGTAGCTCGCAAATTAAAACTAATGAGGGATGTAGCGTGCAACTATTAACCAAATGAGGGACGGTCCGAGTTAATTTTTGAAAATAGGGACTAAACACGCTTTTTGACATGTGCACGAGGGACGAATGATGTAATTTACCCTATTTTTTTTCTATTCCGTTCTACTAGTTATATTATATTGATATAGATGACATGATATTATAGTAGATTTCTAATTTTATAATTTTGAGAGCATGTGCTCCAAAGTGATAAATTTAATCTTTTCTTATAGAAACCTAATCTTGCAAATTTAAGCAAAATTAAAACCTTTTTAAAGCTAAAAATTGAAGTTGGTAAAGATGACAATAAGGACAAGTTTGATAACGGGGCTAAAATCTAAATATGTATGATTGATTATTGACTTTGGTTACATGTCAAAGTGTTGAAGATTTAGCTAAGATATGTAATCATTTTGTTCCATTTTAGTCGATTAAAAATTAATATGATTAGGAGGATATTATTAACATAATGATTTAATTTTAAGATATCCATACTTTTTATTTAATACACATCATTTTATAAAAATATTAATATAACGTTTTTTTATAAGTATATAGGTTTTATTAGATATAAAAATCATGTTAAATAACATAAATTTTTATTTGTTTCTTGTAAAAATAAATGAAAACCATTTTATCTACATAATCTATTTAATATGATCTTTGAAATTTGAATTATTCCATCCTAGTAACGGGTCATGTCGCCTTGATGCCCCCTGTTCGAATACGAGCGGAAAAGGTATTATTCGTTTCAAAATGAAACGAATTAAATCATTAATTATTCGATAAGAATTGCCTTTCATTATATTCCAATGTTTGATTCTATATAGAGAAAGTTTTTTCTTATTCCATTCAATAAGGATGTGTTTGGTTGGGTGGAATGGAATGACAAAGGAATGAAATTGACTAAGTAATGAAATGGTTCATTACCCTTCCATTGTCATGTTTGGTTACTTGATGGAATGGAATGATTCATTCATCCATGTTGTTTGGTATGTACAAAAAAGAGAAAGTAATTGAATAAAAATAATTTACAATGACAAAATTACCCTTACAACACAAAATTCATAGAATTCAATAAAATTCAACATTATCTATTTGGAAATTATAGTTTCTATTCTAAATGGTTTATATAAATAAGAACTTTTATTTATAATAAAAAAATCTATCTCATAAAAACATATCAAAGTCTAACCAACACTAACAAACTAAAATTATCATAATTTTCGTAACTTAAAAAACTGCAATATCATAAAAAACCATATAAATAACGTCAAACATCATCTTCAAACAAGTTCTTTACCCATTCAAAATTGTCTTCGTCCTCAACGGTAAAGAAGATTACCATCAACTCATCATTCTTTGAAAGCATACGAACTGCCTTGTTACAATCACGGACAGTTAAACCAACAACTTTTTTCATCTCAGAATTAAGTTTTTTACGTAGGTCTTCTCTATCTCTCTCGATCCCAAAAACCGCATTAAAGGTACTTGTTGCATTATCAATCTTTGAACCAATTATATCTGCCGAATCTTTCAAGCTGTTCATCAAGATCCCAACTATTTCTTCTTTTTCTCTTTCGTTGTGTACTCGAATCTTCTTTAGAATGAGCATATGTAGGACTATTCACAGAGCATCAACATCTATATCCTCTAACCCATCTCCAGTTCCTTGCATGTAATCGTCAGGCTCCTGTTGTTCGTTATTTATCTCAGATATAACATCCGTTGCTGTTTGAGCATCTTTTCCATTAGCACGATCCTTTCCAAATACAAGACATAGGTCCCAATAATGAGGAAACTTTTTGCCTCTCCATTTTGCAGCATTCTTATGTACCTAAAAAAATCCAAAAATAATAAATAATACATTATGCTAAAAATACATAAAAAATAGTTTTAGATCATTCAAGTAAAAACATTACTTGAGCATATGCTTGCCAAACAGATTGAGAAGCTTCAAGCATCTTATTTTCATAATCCCATCCAAAACCACTTGTGTTGTTTCATGACATCATATCATGCACAGCAGACCAATCGCTTTTCAAAGTTTTTATGCGTGATTCAATATGTGGTTTTGCTTTTATTCCCGAGTTGGGAAGTGATAATGCAAGTCGTATTTCCACCGCACCAAAGAACCTAGGCTTAAAACCATTGTCAGATTTAAAGTGAGAACCTGAATTGAGTATATCAACCATAGCTTCAACAAGTTTCTCGTCTTCTATATCATTCCACTTCCTTTTATTTTTTCCTGGGCCCCTATCACCATGAATTTGTGACTCCATACCTTGACAATTATAAAAAAAAAGATACATAAAGAACTATAGAAACATTAACTAAATATATAACAAGTCACTATCAAACCAACATAACTGAAAACATAATATTACTAAAATTCCATAAAAATGTATCACAATGTACTTAATACACAATAAGAAATCAGTTATGCCTAGATCTCCAAGAATTAAACATTGAGTTAGCCAAGTTTTCTCTAAAAGTCGTCCATTCATTCGATGTTCTAATTGTTGTTATGTGCTCGACTTGTGATCCAAGATCTGTATCCTCCTCAATGTTGTTTGTGTCAATAATGTCATCATCGTCAAGTGGATCATATGGAAATTCCTTTCGTATAAAGTTATGTAGAAGGCAACAAGCAATGATAACTTTATTTTGTGTCCGAATGGGATAAAATGATGGACTTCTGAGTATAGCCCATCTTTTTTTTAATACCCCAAAGCAACGTTCTATGACATTTTTGCAGCTGAGTGCTTCATGTTAAAATATTCCTCTGCCTTTTCTGGACGATGACCATTCAACCAAGTATTCAAATGATATCTTTGACCTCTGAATGGTGCGAGGAATCCTTCTCCATTCGTGTACCCGACATCAACAAGATAATAGTTGCCTTTACTAACTTGTAACCCATTTTCTCGAAGCATTGCACTACGTAGTATTCTACCATCTGTGTAACGCCCGTAGATCCGGGCTAGTCAATTTAGAGATAATAGGGGTCGAAAACGACTTTTCGACAAAAAAATTATTTAGAATAAATAATCTTACCCAAATTGTAGAATATGTCTCAAGGGTTCCGTACATATAAAGAACGCCGAAATCCGAGTTATAACGAAGAAGTTATGACCCGTCGGAGTTTTACGGCAAAACCGGCACGGCACCGGGAAGCGTAAATAGTGAATTTACGATAGATCGAGTTTTAGCCTTAGCGATCTAAACGAAAGTCGTAGAATACGTTAAACCGAGAGCGTCCATAAAAAGAACGTCCAAATCTGACTTCGTATGAGGAAGTTATGATTTTTCGAAGTTTCGGCTTAGCAGTGTACAACCCGAAGTTCGAATATTAGATCGAGCGATTTTTAGCCGACACAACCTAAATGAGAATCGAAGATCTCGTTAATAGTAGCATAACGATTGTTGGTGCATGAAAATGCTCCACAAATAATGAGTGTTTATTAGGTTGTATTTTCCCTTTATTGTATTTATGGTGTAAATACTCTCCCTCCTATATAAAGGGAGAGTTGGTCATTTATTACTTTAGCTAGCTCACTTTTCTTAGTTAGTGATTACTTTTCTCACAATGTAATCTAGAGAGAGAGAGAGAAGTGGTGTGTTCTCCCAACCAGGGAGAGTTTCTCTCCCACCATGTTCTTCATGCAATATTATTATTATTCTTTTGTTGTTCTTAGTCTTATTCAACGAACTCATAATATGTTCTTCGTGTTCATACTTACAAAAACACAATTAATCTCGAGATATCTTACTTCCGCATTCACCGTTCGTATAAAAATGGGTCTCTACAATTGGTATCAGAGCCGTACCTTGAAGATCTCACGATTAGTTCAAGGGAACGACTCCCGTTCGGTGATTATCTTGTGATTTTTCCGTGTTTCTGCAAGAAAAAAAAATTTCGGGTTTCAAACCGGAATTTTTTTTATGAGTTCGTTCTTAGTTCTATTTTCTGGGGTGATTCTATCTTAGTAAAATAAAATGTTTCTGTTGCTGCTCGTTCTATTTTCTGCTGGAAAATGATGTTCTTAAAGTTCTTAATATTTCTCTATTGAAGAAGTGTAAAAAAAATGGGAGAAAAATTAATTTTGTGGTCTCTTAAAAAGGTTGAAGATGTATTCCAGGGAGTTATTTTTTCCTTGGATAAGAAGACACAAGATTATGGGCTTATTTTTCTTGAAGAAAGTAGAGAAAAACATTTTTTTTTGAAGTTTTTTCTTTCCCAGCAACTTTCATCATCATGAGGTATGAAGATTTTTGATTCTCATGTATTAGTTGCTGTAGATCTCAAAATTGAATTGTTTTGGACGTAATATTTGTTTGCAAAAAGCATATTGTCCTTGTTACTCTTTTGGGTAAAGAGTGCTCCACTATTTACTCCCTCAAAAAGACAAAAACCATGTGACATTGTCCAATCCCATCACCTTTTGTCCCTAAAAACCCCCTGCACACTCCTCTTTTTGCCTTCCCAAGACCCACCTTTGACTTAGAATGCTTTATAAAAAAATTCCCTCATTAAAATATGAATAAATGGCCTTTGCGGTACCATTTTTCATGAAAAAATAGCATTTTTCGTCACCTGTTTAGCCCTTCTCGGAGCCCAGAACCGCAGCCAAAAACTGCTACCGAAGTCTCCTTAAAAGCCTACCCGCAGCCCTTCTTAGCCCTTGATCTGAAGTCCTCTCAGCTTCTATCCGCAGCCGAGGTCAGCAGTCGTAAAACCGCAGTCCTCCCTTACCTTATCCTGCTGACCGAAGTCACTCAAGACCGCAGCTTCGGATCCTACTCCTCTGTTCGGACCGCAGTCGTTTGCCTGCTAGCGCCTACCGCAGTCTTCGCCTCGTCCGCATCCCCTGCACCTTCTTAGATCCGAAGCCACACCTCACCCGCCTCACCCCCTGTCATCCGCACCCACCATCCGCAACCAACCTAGACCTGCGACCAGCTCCCCATCCGAACCCAACCCTTTTCCACCCGCAATCACCTCCCACCCAAACCACCTCCTCTCATCCGCAAGCTTCTAGACCCGCAACCTCCCTCCTCACTTCGGATCTTCCCCCTCAGCTCCGCCCCCTCTCCTCCTTCAGCCTCCCCTCCTCCTCCTTCTTCCTTCCTTCTCCTTATTCCTCCCCCCTCCTCCCCTCCTTTCTTTTTCCTCCCGATACCAATTATTTTTATTTAGCCAATTTTTTTTTATTAAAACCAATTATTTTTTTTACACAAATTATTTTTTTAACACCAGTTTTTGCTACAACCGAACCTTGGATTGTCACATTGGTTCATTTCATGCCGGTTATTATTATTGGAAGAATATTCCTACCGCAGTCGGACTTCATATTATTTTTTGTGATGCTTGTACTGCAACGGCGATTGATCAACAAAGTTGTTTCGCATTCTTCACTTTATGAGATTTTATGATTTGTCGCTCTTGATTTTTGGTTGACGAATCATGTATCTTGAGCATGTGGACTTTATTCTCTATTGAAGACCACTTCAAGTGTCCGGCACCGCAGTTTGGATATTTTTTGATATATTTTTGGCACAACAGATTATTCTCAGCACAGCTTCAGCAACTATGTCACCCACCTTCTCATGACCGCAAGAGTATCTCTTTTACTCTATTTCTCGTGTCTTATCGATACCCTTCATACATCTAGGGAGAGCCTTCTTAGCTCTTGGTATCCGACACTCTCCATCCGATGATTTGTTGATTTTTGATATCCGGTCATTGGTTATCAAAAATAGGGAGAGAATATCATCCGGATTTGGTTATTATGATTGTTTGAGTTTGGATTTTTGAAGACTTCTGAAGACGATCATTTATTTAGTGATGCGATGTGGCACTTATTTTTGGTCTTTACGGATCAAATTTTTGGCATTACTCGATGTTTTCCGATTCAGATTATTTATTATTCGGACTCTACCACAGGATGAGTTTGTGTTCGCATCCGGTTCAGATCATATGGTTTCACGAGTTTGGATTTGTGATATGTTGAAGACGAAGATTATTTTGGCGATGTGACGTGGCACTTATTTTTGATCCTTGGATCAAATTTTTGGCATTGCTGGACCATGTCTTTGGACTCACATTATTTTTATCCGGACTACATTTTATGGATGCTTCACATTTTTAGCAGGTTATTCTTTGAAGAATTTCGGTGTATTATGATTCGAGAACTCGAGATGTTTTTCAGATTTTTTGAAGCCGAAGTGTTTCTTTTATTGGATATTCTACTTGCTCATGGTGACCTCCTTCTTCGGGTGATTATGACTGGTTTGAAGATTTGGATCTTATTTTTTCTGCTTCATTGGTTGTGCTTTGAAGCCGAAGACCTTCATTTCAGAGATTCATGACCAGTTTCAGACTTCACAGACACTTCAGAGTTTCAGAGACATTTCAGCACTTGATTTCATTTTATTACCACACTTGCTAGTCGGATTACTGTATTATAGCCTTGTATCACTTATTGGATCTCTCATCATTTGTAAGCATTTAGGGAGAGAATGTTGGTGCATGAAAATGCTCCACAAATAATGAGTGTTTATTAGGTTGTATTTTCCCTTTATTGTATTTATGGTGTAAATACTCTCCCTCCTATATAAACGGAGAGTTGGTCATTTATTACTTTAGCTAGCTCACTTTTCTTAGTTAGTGATTACTTTTCTCACAATGTAATCTAGAGAGAGAGAGAAGTGGTGGGTTCTCCCACCCAGGGAGAGTTTCTCTCCCACCATGTTCTTCATGCAATATTATTATTATTCTCTCTTGTTCTTAGTCTTATTCAACGAACTCATAATATGTTCTTCGTGTTCATACTTACAAAAACACAATTAATCTCGAGATATCTTACTTCCGCATTCACCGTTCGTATAAAAATGGGTCTCTACAATGATAAAAAGACAGACGAAAACGGACGTCGGATGAAGAAGTTATGAATTTTTAACA